TCCCCCTTTCAATCTACTTTATTTGATATCATTAAATATGTACAAGGTATATAAAATTATTTTTAAGTTTATTAAAATGTGTAACTTAAAACTTTAGTGTAGGTGTGTAGGTGTTAAATCACCAAGTATTTCACCTTTTTACCTATACTTTCCGTGGTCTACACTTTCTGTCTGTGAGTCACCTTGAATGACCCCTAGGTGCGAAAAGTAATCCTAGTTCCTCTCCCATTTTAATTCTTCTTTTAATATCCAGAATTGTAGTGTATTTAGTTTAGTTAGATTAGGTTATTAAGTGAACGTTATTACACGTTTGCTGCCGGCTGGATGGGCACTTAGCCCGATTGCCATTAAAAAAAGTACTTTTGAAATACATAGTAGTGTGGTTAAAAAAAGTTTTAAACGTTTTAGATCGTTTGTAATGTGAAAATTTAAATTCAGCATTTTTAAGCATATTTCAAATGCCTCAAATTTGTTGCAAAAACTAAAAACGCAAATATCATGCTATAAGTTTTAAAGATTAGGTTCTAGTTATCAAAAATCAATAGTGACCGGTCAGTGAAATGAATATATTGTATTGATCTCATGAAAATAATAAAAAATGGCAAAAACCGCGGCACATTATTTATTCAACACCTTTATAAAAACTGAGTTCATTTGAGGCAAAATAAAAAAATTACCTAAGAAATCTGCACTTTTTGCCCTTAAAACTTTTTTAAAGGCACTCGGGTCATAAGATATGAAATTTTTACCGTCGAGCTAATATAAATATTATTGAGCATTGATGTCGCCATTTGATGACATTCAAAATCGCCGATCGCTTTAATCGTTGTTTCTAAGAGAACGGTTTATTCTACACAAAAAATGCTGATACATGCTTTTGTTCAAAGTTATCTTAGCTACATTTTTTATTTAAAACATTTTTTCTATGGCAGACAGATTATTAATAAATCGATTTTTTTCCGTTTTGCCACCTCTACGTGGGCAATTTTAAGGGAAAGCCCGGGGTATAAGTGGTAAATTTTTGTATCTTTTTAGCGTCCTAAAATTAACATTTTCGGTAAAATTCAGCTTGTTTGTATGATTTTTAGAGGTTCAGTGTCATTTTCGTCTCTGACGACTGGAGTAAATAGTAATTTCAATAAACTGATAAGTAATGTACAGTACATGTTTTCTTAAAAAAATGATCAGAAATTTTTCTTGAAATTTTATTACTGTACTCGATTTAGAAACATAGGATGGCAGAGATTTTATGACAGAACAAGAGTCAAACAAAGACATACATGAAGAAAGGGAGTCAAACAAAGAAATGTGTGAGGAAATACAAACATCAACACTAGATGTGAGTTTTTGTATAATTTGTATTAAGTACAGGATTATAAATTGCCAATATAGGAAACAAAGCTGTTTATTTCATAATGGTTTTGAAATAAAAATGGTCATAACTTGTTACAGTGTATATTACTGTCGAACCTCATATTTTAAGAATAAAGAATATGAGAGAAATCTAAATATGAGAAACTATACAGGGTATACAGTGAGAAAAGCGCTTTCATAACTTCACTCTGTATTATTCATATAGATCCTACATGATACATTTGGTTGGGATCAGCTTGTTAAGCAGCTTTTAAAAATATATAAATATACAGGTCGATCCATTAAAAATAAATCTTATTTTAAGCCTAAAAAAGGATGTTAATTAATTCGAGACTATTATAACACAGATAAGGAAAATATATTTGGCAAACCTCGTAACTCAGTACAAATTTCTGACTATTTGGTCATGATCAATACAGTGCAGTCAAGTTAGTAAAGGAGCAAATTAATTTGGGAAATGCACTTTAGGAGTCACGCAACCAATTGTGGCAGTGCTGTTAGAAGTCCCTGCATTACAGGCCGGTGACTGTGCAACACAGCCACAGCGGAAGCTACACCTACCTGTACAAGTATCACTTAGGAGCAATATTAGCAATTGTGGCAATAATGTAGGGTCTTCTGACATTATTGCCACAATTGGTAACAATGCTCCTGAGTCATCCTTTTCTCAGGTACCTGTAGCTTCCTCCTGTTGCAGAGTCACCAGGCTGGAATTCAGGGACTTCTGACAGTACTGTTACAATTGGTGGCATGACTCCTGTAAATCCTTTCCCAAGTTAATTCTATTAATAATTTCTTTTCTAGCTTGGCTGCATTGATGACGGCCAAATAATCAAAAATACCTATTTACGGTTGCCTTCCACCTTCATATTTTTTTGTTTTTTACTGAGTTGCTAGGTTTGGGTAATGATTTTTCTTTATATATAAATATATATATATATATATATATATATATATATATATATATATATATATTAATATATATATATATATATATATTAATATATATATATATATATATATATATATATATTAATATATATATATATATATATATATATATATATTAATATATATATATATATATATATATATATATATATATATTAATATATATATATATATATATATATTATATATATATATATATATATATATATATATATGAATTGAAATGCCGAATATATAAAGAAATGGCGGAAGAAGCATAATTCATGAAACCTTCCGGGTAGGAATTGCTATCAATAAACTGTTTAGAAGGTACAAACTCCTACAGCGAAGCCAGCGAATTGTCCTGCCATTTCCCACTTATTGAGTGATAAGCTTAAAGAAGCGCCATCTATTTTGGCCTTTAACGAAAACGATTTACTACTATCACTTTCTGCCTTTTTGAGCTATATAAAATTTGTAAAAGGTTTACTGATTTTAAGAAGAGCTTTACTACGGTTTTGATGAATTGAAACGAAAAGAGCATAATTCGTCAAAGGGGTTTAGGAGTTTCTATCTACCCGACCGTCTGAAGACGTAGGGAATACAGAAGTAACGTTAGAATAGTCTATTGATACCAATTGAGACATGGAAGTTTTGACGAATTGTACTCCTTTGGCCGTTTATTTATATATATATATATATATATATATATATATATATATATATATATATACATATATATAGTGTTTTTAACAGCCTATAATTCAGGAAGTAATAAACATTTTTATTCGAAAATTGGGAAAATTTATTTCGACCTACAATAGTATAAATTGATGTATACATAAGATCTGTGACGCCATCACGGGCGCTGTGACGTCATCACAATGAAAAAAATTTAATGGATCATGGGGGTGAAGGATAGGTCAAACGAAAGGCTTTTTCATCGCAAATTAACCGGTGTACCACAATTAGGATATTAATGTTAATAAATACGCAAAGTTTTCAATTCAGTTCCACATTTATTATCTCCAAATAAATCTGAAACTAGCATATTTTTATATTTTTACAAATTCACAAGAAAAGCAAGTTTTGAGATTGAGATTTGATATTTTGATAACTAACATAACACTTAATGTAATTTCTTATGTTCACCCACTAATACATTCATTACAGTATCACTTCATACAGTAGTAAAAATGCCTTTCCCGTTCACACCTAATGAATACGTACATATGTTGTAGATTTATTATGAATATAGGAAAAATGTTCTTATACATGTAACACTTTCCCGAAAGATCCGTCTTATGTAACTTTTACTATGGTTGAGAAGATGCGGTAAGGTTCATTTTCTAGCGGTTGACATATAGATCATGTCAAAACAATTCAGACTGTACAAAACTTGGTAAATATTTTAGCATATATAACGATTAATCCACATGTGTCCATAAGATCCATTGCTGCAGAAAGTGGGGGTCTTCAACTGCAGTCCAAAGATTTTAAAAACAATACCATTACCATCCATTTAAACTATGTTTTAGTTCATCAACTGCGATCCACCGATTTACATCGGAGAATAACCTTTATCACTCTAATGCAAGTAATAATACAATATACTCATGCCTTTTTAACTAGGATTTTGTGGAGTGATGAAGCTTGTTGCCATATCAATGGGATTATAAATCGACATAAATAACATCACTATTGACCAAATCCCATAGTAAAAAATCAGAACTAGTTAAGAAAACCTCACTTTCAAACTACATGGGGAGTGTGGGTCACTTAATGGGCATTTAATAGGTCCATATGTTTTTAAAGAATATTCTTTTACGCGAAAAAGGAATTATGGTATGGCAACAAGATGGCGCACCCTCACATAATAGCGGTATTATAATCAATTACCTTTACAAACGGATGAAACTAACGGACCCGTCCGATAGCCTCCACGATCACCTGTGCTATCACCCTTAGCTTTTTTGTATGGGGCTATTTAAAAGGAATCGTTTATAATGAAGAACCTACAGATGTAGACGATATAGAAACTAAAATTAGACAATCGTGTACCCTGATTACGTTAGAGATGATACATACGGCATGTACACGTGAACTGCTTGGACGGTTTGACGCTTACGTTGAAACAGATGGAGCTTATATTGAGCACCTCCTATAAAATTATTTCACGTTTTATTGAGTGTTGTTGATTATTGTTAAAAAATAAACATTAAATTAAAAATTCAGTGTACTTATTTAAATTAATACTCTCATTGTTGTACACCGTTGAATTTGGAATAAAAATTCCTCAACACTATTTCTGACCTAAACTTCAACCCCCTGATCCATTTAATTTTTTCATTGTAATGAAGCCACAGGGCCCGTGACTACGTCACAGATCTCATGTATACATCAATTGATAGGATTGTAGGTCCAATTTGGCATTTCCCAAGTTTCATATAAAACTATTCATTACTTTCTGAATTTTAGGCTGTTAAAAATATCTTGGAACGCCGTGTATATATACTTGTTATACTGGGAATATTCTCTTCCTACATCATCATCATACGATTTTTTTTACGAATAATACCTTCATATTTTTAAGTTAACAATTTTAAGAACAAAAGAAAACAGGCACGATTTTAATGCAAAAAAGCAGTAAAATTATTAAGCTCATATACAACAGTACTAAACTAAAAAAATTTTACCTGGAGCGCATGGATTATATTGGCAGGGATTTACTCTAGTACACGAGAAACCGTCTCCTTCGTATCCTGGTGGACATCTACCACATACGGCACCTTGTGCTGTATCCCTACACTCCACGTTTGCGTAACAAGGATTGTCTTCGCATTTACGGCCAGGATTGCAAGAATACCCTGAAAAAGATCGTAGTGTCAAGATTTAGCTTCAACTTTTATTTATGAGTAAATATAAAAATGTTTTTTTCCTGAAAAAATTTTTTTCCTGAAAAAATCACTGTTTTTATAATAGGAAATGATATTTCCTCTGAAATACTTCATATTTGTCTTTGAACCTCTTATGAAAATCGTTTAGTATACTTTATGTACTTGTACTATATCTGTAGTGATTTATAAAATTATTTAAATAAAGCAATTTACTATTTTTATCGGAAATAAGCCACAATTTTATTTTAAAATAAGTTAATTTGACGTTTCAATTTCCAGTTTGTTCATTCCAAATTTTGTCGTTTGTTACTTAGTAAAAAAAATCCTGTTTTAATTTTATCTGACCCATTAATTTTAACAATTCAGACCTATATTATATATTTTAAAGTGAATAAACTAATAATAATGTTGTCAATATTTTTGAGTTGCGTTCCTGGGACGACTTTATTAAAAAATAGTTAATTCTATTAAATGAAATCAGCTTTAACTTAAAAATACCCGTCAGAAAAGTCATAGCATGTGGTTTGTGTTTAAAAAGACAACCAAATCTAATGGTGAGAGTAAAATTCTCATGTTAGTGATCCTATAGTAAATCATAGGGATCAGAACCTGAAAAAAACCTCGTGGTACTCTCTTGTACTCTCGTGGTAATCTCTTCTTCTTCTTTGAGTACCGTGCGCAAGTTTTAGGCGTGGGTAGCTTCCATGACGGTTTGCCGATCAATCGTTCTCGATCTTGCACGGCATGTAATAATTCATCGGCTGATAAGCCAGTCCATTGGCGAAGGTTTCGGAGCCATGAGTATTTCTTTCCCCCAACAATTTTGAGAACATCAACAACTACCCGAGATCCTAAGGGTAAATCGTAAACTTGAGGATTTCCTTTAGCACCACAAAAAGTGTCAAAGACATCACAACATCCTGTGGAACTGCACAGCATCCAGTTCTTATAACCAAAGTGCACTGGTTTTCCCTTTATATATTGTTTACTGGAATGCCGACCATAAAACTTTACCATGGTTTCGTCGAATTTAGTCGTTTTGTCATGGGTATCCAGATGATAGTTATCTACTAAGTGAATATACCTTTTGATTTTCTGGAATCGGTTTCTTGACATAATTTTTGCGACCACAGGCACTCCAAAATCTTCATCAAGACTCCAATAACTACGTTTGCTTGGTATCTTATGATAGCCTGTTACAAGTAAAATTGCCACAAAAAGTTTGAGATCACCTTTTGAAACAAAAGAGTGTCTATTTTTTGGTGATAAATACAAATTTGTTTGATAGACCAAATGTTCTAAGATTTCGTCATCGAACAACTTTTAAAATATTTTAACTGGACTACAGTTTTCCAATTTATTTTTTAGAATTTTACAACGTCAGCCCAACCGGAAGTTACTGGCATACTAGTGTCAACAACATTTTTGGTCCATTTTTGAAGTAAGGTCTTCGTCCTTACTTTCTTCTTCATCACTGCTGTTTATATGCTGCAACTCGATTTCACCGACTACGTCTGTAGGAAATATATTCTCAACATCTTCTAAATCATTTTCGTCCAAGTCCTCTTCATCGGTCTGTGGGTCAGCATCGGGCGATATAATAACAATGTCTGCTTCATGTTCAATATTTGCTGTAACATCTTGTAAAGCAGCATCTAAGTGACGATACTTCCTTCCATAAAAACTTTTCGGAGATATTGGTGGTGAATGTTCTGGTTCCATAATAAACTATAATATAAATGGGTATTGCAGAAATAATTACATGTATTTTGTATAGATTGCTTCCACCCAGTGGTTCCAAACGGGGACACCTAACTTACCTAACTTATGTAATCTACAATTTCAGTAAACTCGATAAAATTTGTTGAAAACACAATGGCTTACATTCACAACTACACCTTTGAGTATAATACGCACTGCTAATAAATTAAATTTTAATTATTTGTCTTGTAGTAAAAGCATGTACCGCTCTTCCAGACAAAGGCGTGACCTTGCTTACAAAGTTGTACTTGCTGTTGCGTTGGTTAAACTAATAAACGTTAGCGCTATAAGTTAAGAAGAAAACAATGTAACTAACACTCTGTCGTAGTGAACTCTTGCTATTTCTCGATAGAAGGCGCTACAGTGACATTTTGTTTGCTGTCCCCAAATGGGATCAATGGCATATAATGGGTTTAAAGTCGTTTACTTTAAAATATATAATATATTGTCTAAATTGGCAATATGGATCAGTCAGACAAAACTAAATTATTAGAAGAATTTGCTTACCAAGTAGCAAAAACAAAATTTGTTTAATTTATGAATGCTTTGTATTTTGAAAACGATTTCCAAAGCGGAAATCAAAATATCAAAATAAAGTTATTTTAAAGTAAAATTGCGGCTTATTCCCAATAAAAATAGTATATTCTTTTGTATATTTACTTATATTGTATAGTGAAAACCAAAACCCGCATATAACTATATAACAACTAATAACCTGTTACATATAGTTGATGTGTTATGGGTATAACATTAAAAAATTACTTGATCTTTTCCCTAGTTTGTTAGTATCCTTAAAAAATTATAGTAAATTTAATCTATATGGAACTAGTAATAAAATAACATAAATAACTCACCATCGCCGATATATCCTCTTGGACATTGTCCGCATCTAGGCCCTTGTTCGGTATCATAACATTGGACGCCAGGGAAACATCGTGGTGGATGAGTAGCACAAGTTGGTCGACGAATGGGTTGAGCTTTGCACAGTTCGCATTGTTCTATAAGTCGGCGCAAGTTGTCGATTGCTTGAGCTGAAGCTTCGCATCTCTTTACTTCGAAATTTACTCGTTCGATCAGTAGGTTAAGAGCTTGCAGGATACCAGCTAAAAAATTATTCAGTAGAATATTTAAAATACACTCCTGGTCAAAAAAACCCGGATACTTGCATTTTGTATGTTTTTTTAAATTCTATAGGTGTTATGTGGTTTAAATGGAGAGGAAATAAACATTAATAACAGAAATAGTTTATTTAAAACACTTAAAAGTATTAACTAAGTTACCCAAAGGAACGTAATAAGTAACGCAAAAAAATTAACATTGTTCGAGAAATTAAACAAAAAAAAATTAAATTTTAATTGCCCACAGTTGGCTGTTCTTTAGATTTAGTATTGTGTGTTACCTCCCCTACATGTGTGGAGGATTTTAATACACCTGGACGTACTTGCAATAAATTGCTGAATCTGCTTTTGCAGTATATGTTTTTAAGTAGTCTATGAAGATTCGCGAGTAGGTGGACGCGCATTATTCTGCATAAATAAGAAATTAGACCCTTGCATAATTAGCTTTTGCATAAATATTGTCCTTCAGACACTGTCGTATGCATCTGTCTGCTACGAGTTCCATGTTGGACCAAAAGAGCAAGGTTTGAATTGTTTCCGGGTCTCCTCCATACACTTTCACGTCCGTCTGGAGATCGTAAGCTGAAACGGGACTCACCAGATAATATTACAATACTCCAATGCTAAACAGTCCAGTGTCTGTGATCATTTGTACATCTCATCCTGTTATCTCCATGAGCTGCTGTTAATTTAGGACCTAATACTGGCTTATGAGAACGTAAATCACCTTCATGAAAGACTCTTCTTACAGTTCTTGTAGAAATATGAGTTCCTAGAGCTTCTAACAAGCTTTAAAAAAACATTCATCACGATTATATCTACATCGTTTTCTGCCTGATCCTGGTCTTCTAGTCAGACAATACTTCGTAAGAGCATCATAGACGGTACTTTTAATAATATCCATATGATTTGTAATATAACGTATACTGCGATAATCTTTTTGTAATGAACATCGATCTAAAGTTATCAGAATAATCGTGAAACTTATTGTAGTATAAAGAACACTTGCCAGAATTGAAATCAGATCCATAAAGTCGTGGTAAAATTGCACAATATCTTATTGGAGAGCCTTTGAATGACTTGCAGTATATATTTTTGGTTTATTTCCAATGACAGAGAAAGGAAACAGGTACTTAATGGTCGCAATGAATTATTTTTTAAAATGGCCTGAAATTGCGTCTCTTCCTAATCAAGAAGCTACTACGTATGAAGTAGCAAAAGCATTCACAACACATGCCATTTTAAAACATGAAGTTTTTTTGGGAAATATGGAAACATTCTGATCAATAACGAAATTTGATTAAGAATTAAGGCATTAAGAAAACTCGCACTTAATACTCACGCGAGCAGACGGAACGGTCGAAATACATAATAGAACTAACTTTCTGTCAGTAGCTTTTAATGTTCATTGCTGATAATCAAAAATATTAGGATATTTTAATTCCTTTATTCCTGTTAGCGTATAAAAGTTCAGAATATGAAGCAACCAGTTATTCTCCATCGATGATGATCCCCGGAAGAAAAATAGAACTTCCCCAAGATCTTATTTTCTGACATACATCGAAAATTTAGAACAAACATTGGAGAAAGTCTAAGAATTTGCTCGTTAAGTTTGAAGCTTCAAAGTGATAAAGCCAAGGCCAGGCAAGTATGTATACTACAGGTAGACAACTTTCGAAAGAGCCCAGAACCATACTGGCCTAGTATGGTTATGCAACCCCACATGTAAGAAAATATTTTAAAACTTCAACGAAACTGGGAACACTATTCTGCTGAAAATAAAAAATCTTATCTACCACATCCAGTTTTCAGCTAGAAGTAAAGCCAAAGTTCATATTGAGTGATGAACTGATCCACCCTGTAGGCTTCAACGGGTTTCTGATAAACCAGTTCTTCGAGGCGAATAACTGTAAAGTAGGGAGCAGTATTTTGAAAGTTCCGTAAGATTTATCTTACATAGAAAAAGTCTAGAAAAGTCTGGAACGTCAGAAAATATGAATAAACGAATATAAACAAAGGAATTTGACAGTTTAATAACAGTAGTATTTTGAAGTTTATAGTTATCATTGTATTAAGTATTATAATATTGTTGGAGTGTGTGTATGTGTGCATGTTTATTATGCAAACTGAAAAAGCACTTACAGTCTTCCAACTTGGAAACCAAGGGAATGTCTCCTCTATAAGGAACACCAGACGATGTTCTTCTATATGGATCCTCTCCTCCTCTTCGGTACTGATCATAATCAGGTTGTTGCGCTTGTATATTTGGGTCATCATTGAGATTATTGTTTAAATCGTCATTAAGAAAATTGTCGTAGCTTTTGCTTTGGTTCGTGTATAACGACAAAGGACAGTCGTTGCGATTTAAAACCATTCTTAGATCTCTATGATGCCCGTCAATTTCGATAGTATATTTTCGTTCGTGGTGCTGAAACAAAACAAACTCGTTATTTAAATGAAAACATTTTTATCCATTTAAGACTTTCTGTTAATGTTAATAATACAGCATATCTCAGTAAGTTGGAACCATATAAAAAACTTTATTATTATTAATTTTAAGAAAAAAAGGACTAAAACCTAACATACAACGAAAGATTAGTAAATTTTGAAGAGAGGTATTAGGAGGCTTGATCTCCATTCTTGGGGAATTCTATTTTGTTCTATCATTTTTTGGATTAGTCTTAATAGTTATTTGGTCAGATCTGGTCCTCCGTACTTTAGGAGTTCATTCGGTATTCTGTCCTCTTCTGGTAATTTTCTATTTTTTAATTTCCTTAATGTTTCCTTTACCTCTTCCTCCTCAATATTTATTTCTTCGTTTGAAGTCACCTCTGGTGTTGATGGTTCATTATCGTCACCTTTAGCAAATAGGGATCGAAAGTAGTGTACCCATGTTTCCTTCTGAATGTGTTTTATTTTTATTAGTTCGTTCATTTCTTTTCTTTTTCCTCTGATCATTCTGCATATCCCTGTATAAAAAAAGAAAAATGTTACATAATACAGCATTTAAAACCCTTTTAAACGCTGTATCACACGCTACCCCTTTTCATTTAAATTTTTCATTTAAAATTTTTTCATGGGTAACTTGTAACGTTATTAACGTCACATCGTTATCATTTATATTTAAATAATTATTTTATTTGAATTTCTTTAATAATGTATTAATTCCTTAACCTTCAGTTTCTTCTTTACTATTTTTTCTTTAAAAAAGTAGTTGGCGCCCTCTCTCTCTCTCTCTCTCTCTCTCTCTCTCTCTTTCTGTCCCGTAGAATAAATATTAGCCTTCTCTCTTTCTTTCTGGTAGAATAAATGTTCGCCCTCTCTCTTTATGTTCGATAGACTCAATATTCTGTTCTATGTTGACAGAAGAGCTAATTCCATCATAGGTACATATTCTATGACTTCTGTGCTATACTTCATTGTAAGTCAATCCCCACTGTCTGTCAATCACCTTTTCTAACGTAGTGGGAATACTCTTTGTTGTCTCTAATTGATATTTATAAAAGAAGGCAGAAATTATAATAAGGTTTTTTTTATCGTCTGCTAAAATCTCTTGGGTTTATTAGAGAATTTATTGGGTTTATAGAAGATTTTATTGGAGAATTTATTGGTTTAATTGGAAATTTTATGGGATATTTTTTGAATTTTGCATAATATATTTATGGAATAATATGAAATAACTGCAGCTGTCAGTAGTTAATTTATAGTTTAAGACAAGACATATTCACACTTGAGAGACTGAGCTAAGCGAAGCATAGACCATAAGCTACCATGGTTGATTGAGGATTTCAATTCTCTATGGTATCATAGTCTTATCGTTACAAACTACTATCTCTAGGGAGTTCAAGATACATTGGAATAATGTCATTCGGAAAGTGTAATTTAATATACAAAAATTGACTTGTATCAGTATTTTCCATTTGTATTTATATTATTGTATAAAATGAATTTATCGGTGAATTTAGGACCTCACTGTATAATTATGTTCACTGTTATCTCGCCTGGAAATTGCGAGTGAATTAGGTCTAATGTAGATAGGAATAGGCCCAAACAAAAATTTGTTTAAAAAATTTTATATTTTTTTGTTTACCACTTTTTTATTTTTAATTTTACGATAAAAAGTAATAGAAATTGTATATATTTTAATTTTCTACAAATAATGTTTTTTACAATTTTCTGTAGGGTTGCTAATTTACAAGATAGAGTGCGAAAATTATTTGCTCTCCTTTTTCCAAGATGGAAGCCGGGAGACAAATGTGGGGACCCCACGAACTTAAACTTAAGCTTATATTAACCAGCCCCATAGGTAAAAAAAAATAACAATGCGTCCTCTCAAAAATGGAATCTCAATGTAACTTTTCAATGAACTATAAATAATATAATATAAAACAAATTTGAAACAAAGTAAAAATTAAAACTAAAAATAAATAAAAGCAAAAATATTAATTTCCAATAAAAAATGTTTTTATTTTTTTACCAATATTTCTACTTTGTAACTTATTTTAATTTTGTTAATTTCAATAACGGTAATTATCTATGTCCTTAGATTAATTAAAATGTGATTATTAGTATTTCCATTTATTAATGTTCCCTAACTATTTTGCAATGTAAATATGTAATAAATCCATATTCATTGTTATGTAACTAATATAAAAGGAATAATTAGAAAAAACTAAATGTATAAGTATTCAGAGAAAATTCCTGAGACTTGTAAATATGCATCAGTTGTATCTTCTATAGGGTGTAATGATAATGAAGTTAGCATCTTAACTCTTCTACGTTAGAGTTACACACACGTTTTATTTTCTATCCCGATTAATTCAAATGGAAAAACATAATTTTGATTCAATTCCACGAAAAACTGTAACAAGTATTGAAATTTAAATACCTTGGAATTAAGTTATTAAGTAACAACAATACCGAGGATGAATTGGCACAACAAATAAGTAAAGCAAGCAGAACAAAGGGAGAAAGAAACACCTAAACATAGAAAAAATACGCAGAAACAAGACCAGAAATTCACACCAACATAAGGAATATTAAAATTTAAGTATATGTGTAAGATTGACACCATAAATAAACGTATATGGTAAAGATATAAAGTAAGAATAAGTATGGAAGAAATACATTAATAAAATGAAAGAAAATAAAATAATTAGAATAGCTCGAGGTGTCACCAAATGGAAGAAGGGATATAGAAAACAAATGAGATAATAATCAAATAAGGGGAAACAGGCAAGATACGTGAATACAAAAAGCAAAAAAAAAACCTAATTACTGCAGTTGCATATTAGAAACCATTAAACTGTTTATGATGTCCCAACTGTATTGTTCTGAAGCTATTTTCTTGTGGCATTGTAAATTAATTACTATTAAACTGGGAATAAGCCACAATTAAAGATAAAAATACGTTTATTAACGTTTCAATTTCCACTTAATTAAACAAATTTTGTTTTTGTTACATAGTGAAAAATTCTTCTAATAATTTAATTTTATCTGACTCATTTATATTGACAATTCAGACATACATTATGCATTTTAAAGTAGACGACTTTAAAATGATGTAGGTCATTCTTCATTGATAATATTGTTGAGTTGCGCTCCTGGAACGACCTTACTTATAAGATAGTTCATTCGATTACATGAAATCAACTTTAACTTGAGAATATACGTCAGAAAAAAATCATAGCATGTAATTCGTCTTTAAAAAGACAAACACATGACATAATGACAGTAAAATTCTCCTGTTAGTGATTCCATAGTAAATTATGAGGAAAAAACCAGGAAAAAAACCTCATAATACTATCCCGACATTGTAAGTATTTGTTCGTGAATTTAGTTTACGTTCAACAAACATCAAAATTCTGATTTTATATGTTACGTTATTTAAAAAACATAAATGATATATCCTCTATATGTTACTGACTTACTAATACTGGTATTTTCTTATTAATAACTTCCTCTTTCAATATTGGTAACCAGATCCTACTACATTCTGCCGAGGAATTTGCGACACAATTGGCCTCATTTAGCATAATTGGAGCCGTTTCTTTGATTTTTCTTTTTTTACCATCCGTTTCTTTTAGGACTACATTTGAATTATTCCATTGAACCCTATGTCCATTATCCCATGCGTGTTTACAGATTTGAGATCTATCAAATTCTCTATTTTTAATATAAGATTGATGTTCACTTATTCTAATATTTAATGGCCTTGATGATTCACCCAAATAAAACTGATCGCATTCACAAGGTATTTTATAAATGCAATTCTTTGTCCTTTCTTGTTCATTGTTAGGTTTGGTTTTGGACAAAATAGATCTCAACGTGTTTGTTGTTTTGAATGTTGTTGAAATGTTGAATTTATTTCCTATCCTTTTAAGTTTTTCTGATAGTCCTAATATGTACGGTATGGTTATTTTCCTCATATTATTCCTTGTGTATGCTGTAGGATCTCGTTCTTTGTTCTGTTCTATTCGATCGATTGTTGAAAATTCCTTATTTATAAACGATAAAGGATAATCATTTTTTAATAAAACAGATGTTAACAAATGTTTCTCCTCCAAGAACGAATTTTCGTTAGAACAAGTAATTTTGGCTCTATCGTATAAGGATTTAATTATTCCCTTTTTCACATTAATATTGTGATTTGATTTGAAATTTAAATATCTATTGGTGTGTGTTGGTTTTCTATACACCTGAGTCTCATATCCAGTATCGTTCTTAGAGATTAAATCATCCAGGAAAGGTAGCGTGTTATTATATTCCTTTTTCATGGTAAATGTTATTGTCTCTTCTTTATCGTTTATATCATTTAGGAATGTGTCCAACAACTCTGATCCATGAGGCCATATTGAGAATACATCATCTACATACCTCCACCATACTGTGGGTTTGAAATTTTGTTTAGAAATGATATTTTGTAACAGTAAATTAAACAAAATTTGTTTAATTTACTGTGTGTATTTTGAGAACGATTTCCGAAGTGGAAATTGAAACGTCAATAAACGTATTTTTATCTTTAATTGTGGCTTATTCCCAGTTTAATAGTAATTAAGTCCCAACTGTAGTTTCCCAAAACGGAGTCATAATTATTTACAATAATATTTAATTCTATATAATAAACCAGCAAATGTACTTACCACTTCTAATTTACGATCAGGTGTTTTGTGCATCTCCCTTAACGTCTTTGGAAGAGCTACCATACCATACGAAGTACAATCTAAATATAAAGTAGCATGTGCTCCTGGTTCATTTTGATTGACTTCAAGTATTAGAGATTTTATACTATTATCTTCATCTAAAGAATCTACTTTAAAATGTTGAGATCTTTTTTTGCCATTCTCCACAGTTTCAACAGTTACTACAAAAAATAAATTTGTTAGCGTGATGATTATATATATATATATATATATATATATATATATATATATATAATATATATATATATATATAAGAAAAAAGAAGTACTTGTGACTCGTTTGGAAAAAATATAACACTGTTTTTGATGGGTTGGAGTCAATAAAAGGGGCTATTTGTTGACTATTTTTTACTCGAGCTTTCAATTGTGATTACAATTTTTATCAAGAGCTTCTAAAAAATACAAAATGTCTTACAAAGTTGAACTAGAAATAAAAAATTTTTTGTTAACTCACCAAATAAAATTAGTTTTTTATATAAAACTACTGCTTACATAATAAATACAAAAAATATTAATAAAAAAATGTCTTATTCTAACAAATGTTTCTCTGAAAAATTTTGATGAATTTTCTTAAGAAAAAAAATTGAAATTATAAACAAATATAGAATAGCTACAACCAGCCTAACACGTCATAAATACTAACTTAAAAATTCTTATTTTTGACATATTGTCAAAAATAAAATTTTGTTTAAAAAATTCTTCTTTGTTTAGTAACAAAAAAGAAGAAGATTTATTCACCATTGATAGATGCCCGGAAAAATGTAACAAATAAATGGAAAATTCAAAATGTGATATTTTACTGACTGCATAAATTAAATAGAAATTATATAATTATAAATTTTGCTTAAATTTTGAATTTCTGACCTTTTGTTTAAATTATTATCACTTTTGCTAATACAAACCATTTCCAAAAAAGTTCTTTTAAATTTATTACTTTCATTACATAAAATTTTAATATTATCAAAATCCATAATATGGTCTTTGTCTATTACACTGTATCCAACAATCAAAACATATATTATCATTCACTACCTTTTATACCATCATTAACTCCTAAATTAATACAAACATTAAAGGTTATTGACAATATAAAAATAGCAACAAAGAACATCAAAACTATTTCATCTTTATATTCCAAAACTAAATATCCTATAGACAAATTAGATCAAACAAATGTAGTATACAGCATTGTTTGTACTCAATGTGAAGCTGAGTATATTGGTGAGACTGGAAGAAATCTCTCTAATCGCATTATTTGTCACAAGAGTGATTGTAGAATTAAGAAACCATCTTGTGCTTTGGCAGAGCATGTAATAGACAAAGACCATATTATGGATTTTGATAATATTAAAATTTTATGTAATGAAAGTAATAAATTTAAAAGAACTTTTTTGGAAATGGTTTGTATTAGCAAAAGTGATAATAATTTAAACAAAAGGTCAGAAATTCAAAATTTAAGCAAAATTTATAATTATATAATTTCTATTTAATTTATGCAGTCAGTAAAATATCACATTTTGAATTTTCCATTTATTTGTTACATTTTTCCGGGCATCTATCAATGGTGAATAAATCTTCTTCTTTTTTGTTACTAAACAAAGAAGAATTTTTTAAACAAAATTTTATTTTTGACAATATGTCAAAAATAAGAATTTTTAAGTTAGTATTTATGACGTTTTAGGCTGGTTGTAGCTATTCTATATTTGTTTATAATTTCAATTTTTTTTCTTAAGAAAATTCATCAAAATTTTTCAGAGAAACATTTGTTAGAATAAGACATTTTTTTATTAATATTTTTTGTATTTATTATGTAAGCAGTAGTTTTATATAAAAAACTAATTTTATTTGGTGAGTTAACAAAAAATTTTTTATTTCTAGTTCAACTTTGTAAGACATTTTGTATTTTTTAGAAGCTCTTGATAAAAATTGTAATCACAATTGAAAGCTCGAGTAAAAAATAGTCAACAAATAGCCCCTTTTATTGACTCCAACCCATCAAAAACAGTGTTATATATATATATATATATATATATATATATATTATATATATATATATATATATATATATATATATATATATATATATATATGTAGTATACATACTATTATTTTAAATGATAAAAACTATATATATACTAGTGACGAATATGGCATTAAACGTTAAATAATTTATGTAACAATAAAACACTGAAAACTTTGTTTTCAAACTTCCACAATTTTTTTTTAATCTTATCACTACAGCTGTTTCGGCTGATTGCCTTTCTCAAGTGATCTATTTTTGGCTTGGGTTTACAAATTTATAGTCTCTAATGAAATAGGTTGAGGAGGGGAGAACTGTTTGTCTCAAGTTGGTCATTCAGAATTATATCTGTGTTTTTTAATTTGTTGATTTCCATAGATTCTAACAAAGATAGCTTAAGGCCTTTATTTTGAATGTGAAGAATTTTAAATTTGTCATTAAAAGAATGATTATGATCTAGAAGGTGAAGTGCGTATGTCGAATCTGTTTTTCTGTTCTTGAAAGCCCTTTTATGTTCTGCTATTCGTTTATCAAAGTTTCTACCAGTTTGACCGATGTAAGTTTTTGGACAGTCGCCACATTGAAGTTTGTACACACCACTATTTAAGTGTTTTTTATTTTGGCAGTGTTAGACATGCTCCCGCACATTTTAATTCAATACTTTGCCTGTTCCTTGTCCTCTTTAGAATGATGGCTTCGGTTTTCTCTGCCGCAAGTTTCAGTCCGTGTTGCGTCATCCATTTCTTTACGACGCGGACAACGTTCAAGCAGACTAAACAGACCAAGTACACTTGGATCGTATCAACCCGCCTTTAAGAAGAAAAATAGGTGTATAATATAATCGAAAGAAATCACTCTGCTGCTTTAACAGTTAGTATTGTTTCTTTTTTTTTTAGAAAATACATTTGCATATAAGAGAACGTCCCAGAGAAAGCTAATTTTTACCGAGCAACGGATGGAACAAAAATGGACTTTTATTGAAAGTGGAAAATCAAAAAGGCAAATATCTAGAGAACTAAAGATTCCTGAGGCCACTATTCGCAAGCGCTAAAATGTGGCACAGTGCCTACATCTTCAGGTAGACTCAAATGTGTTTTTTCTAGTAATATAAAAATCCAGCTAGCAGAGCACGTAAGGCAACTTAATATAAGGTTTTATGGATTGACTGTAATAAATATATAAAGATTCTAATAAACTTGTAAGTGTTATAAATGTAGAACCTTTGATAATAAAAAAAGGCAATAAATTAGATTAATAAAAACAGTCCAATACTTTATTTTTAAACTTTATTTTGTTTCTTTTGTTTTTGAGATATTTTGGTATACTATGTTTATTTTGCCGAGAAATGTAATAAATAAAAAGAAGTTCTAGCAGTAATTATAAAAAAGATTATACAATCTTAGTTCTTGGAACATGTGTACTAGTAAATGCTCCTCATTAAGAAATTATTAGTGGTCCAATTACAGCTTCCGCAGATCGCAAAATAAATTTGCTGTATCATTGTAAGTCCGCGTAAAACTAGTACAAATACACATCATCTTTGTTTAAACTAAGCAAACGAATGCAAACATTTTATCGTTACTGGTTTTAGGGAGTCACTTTAGCGTCTATATTCGTCATGGTAAATATTCAAATTGTTCTGTTTTTGACATGTGAAGTCCATTAGTTACCTTTGTTATTTATATATCTTACTTTGTAATAGAAAATTTTTTAAAACAAATCTAGCTTGAATTTACCTAAATATTAAAAATATTGATTTTAACAATAATAAACTGCCTCTATTTAATTACCAATTGTGCTTTTATGCTATCTGTTTTCCGATGAAGCCCTCGCCTTGTTTTTTCCACTTGAGTCTGTCTAGTATTGTTCCCATGAATCTTGAATATTTTATATTTTGAGAATAAACTACAATTGTACTCAAATTTCATGTTTTTTGTGTAAACGTTTGAGTTTCCAATCTACCAATGTCAAATCATTAAAACTAACGTCAAATATTTTTAAAAATGTATTCTTACCTTTTTTGACTTTTCTATCCAGCAAAAGTGCAAACTTATCATTGCTTTCTGGAAAATCAACTGCAAATAAAGTTTCTATCATTCCTCTTGACCGTTTTCGTGGTTTTATATGCCTCAAAGATACAATAAATTTGTCATCGTTTATTACTCCTTCTAATTCTTTGGTTTTTCCTGCAAAAATAAGATTTATATTAGTAAAAGTATAAGAATTATTTTAAGAAATTCAAAAAGTGTACTGGGTATTTGGAAGAAATTTTGGCCTTTCATTAGCCCTAAAAATTAAGCGCCAAATGAGTTAATGTAACTCTTGTAATTTATCCGTCATATGGGTTCTTGTAATTTATACGTCTATATATTCTTTTTTCCGGAGTTATCTATAATTTTGGCGATCGTTAATCTATTCAATAGCCAAATTGAACAAAGTTTTTTCTTATACCAAGACTCAAGACAAAAATACATATCAATTGTCAAGATTCTATATTATTGTCTTTAAGAGTTAAAACAAAAATAGAGAAACAAGGAGATGATTTCAAAAAGAATCTGTTGAATCCTTAACAACATCCTGCGAAATATTAATGTTACCCAATTTTTCCATAATGAAAATAATCACTAAGACCAAAGTGTGTCAAAAGTCCTTGAAGAGATTAATAAATTTGTAGATTATATGACAGAATAATTTAATTATATATAGAGCGTTGATGAAAATTTCGGACTTCAGTCGGACATTGTATCCTGCGAAGCTCCATTTTAATTTGGCAGCATGTTCTCCTGCGTCTTTTACTTTGGTTTTACTTCTAATCCATTTGTAATATCTCAAATGATTCAGTTTTCTTCCATTAGCATTTATTCCTTTATCTGCCCAGTTAATTGATTGTCTTGAATATCTGTTGATTTGTATAGTTTTGGTTTTTGCACCTATTTGTATTTTCATTGTAGCTTTCTTGTAAATATTATGTACGAGCATTCTGTATCGGGAGTCTATCCTGCAGTTGTTCATAGCTCTCTCTATTGTCCAAAGATTTATAGAAAAAGTCGAATGCCTTTTCATAATCAACGAAGCAAATGTATAAGTTCAAGTGATATTTATTGGCTTTCTTTATTAGCGTTCTGACTGTAAGAAGATGATTCGCTGTACTGTCATCATCATCATTTAACCCGGATCTAATTACTGCTGGATATAGGTCTTCCTCAGTCTTTTCCATGTATTTCTGTTTTGTGCTATTTGCATCCAATTTTTGTCGATCCGTTTTATGTCATCAGACCATCTTGTTGGTGGACGACCTCTACTTCGATGTGCTTCTTGTCTCGGTCTCCACTGTATCATTCGCTGTGTCCATCTGTTATCCGACATTCTAGCTATGTGCCCCGCCCAGTTCTACTTAAAGATCATAATTCTTTCTATGGCATCTGTCACTCCTGTTCTCCGTCTTATTTCCTTGTTCGTGATCCGATCCCTACGAGAAATGCCTAACATCGATCGTTCCATGGTTCTTTGGGTAACACAAATTTTATTTCTTACTTTTTTGGTTAGTGTTAATGTCTCTGCACCATATGTAAGTACTGGCAACACGCACTGATTAAAGACTTTTCTTTTAAGACACATAGGCAGTTCTGATTTAAGAACATAGCTCAGCTTGCCGAATGCCACCCAAGTGAGTCCTATGCGGCGGCTTAGTTCGCACGTTTGATTATCTCTTCCCATGCGTATCTCATGTCCTAAGTACTTATAAGAGGTGGTTTCTTCAATATGCATGCCATTTACTGAAATCTTTTCGCTTAACACAAGATTTGTCATGATTTGTGTTTTTGTGTGGTTGATTTTTAATCCAACTTGTAGGGAGGCTAGGTATAGTTTCTCCAGTTGCGATACTGCATCATCGATTCTGTCAGCAAGAAGGACAATATCGTCAGCAAACCTCAAATGACTAAGCATTTCTCCATTGACATTAATTCCTTTTTTTACTCAGATTTGCGTTCTTAAACATATGCTCTAATAATTTTGTAAACAATTTTGTCGAAATTGTATCTCCCTGTCGTACTCCCCGTTTTATTTTAAATACGTTGGTCTTTTTATCTGCCAGTTTCACGCTTGCTGTCCCCTTTTTGATAGATGCATTTTATCATGTTTATATAGCGAAGATCTATACGGCACTCTGTTAAGGCTTTTAACATCCTTTGATGACTTATTGTATCGAAAACTTTTTCGTAATCAACAAATATCATGACTAGTGGCTTGTTATATTCAACATTCTTTTCTATTAAGTTCTTAATTACTTGTAAATGAGCATTCGTGCCATATCCTGCTCTAAAACCTGCTTGCTCTCTTGGCTTTTAGAAATCCAACTTACTTCCTAGCCTGTTGGTAATAACTCTTGTAAATATACTTGTGACAACAAGCTAATGGGGCGGTAGTTTCTAAAGTCGCTGATATCTCCCTTCTTATGAAGTAATATGATTTCCGCGTTGTTCCACTGCGTCGGTGTTATCGCTTCGCACAGACATTTATTGAACAGTTTAGCAAGTGTCAGTAAGAGCTTATTTTCTCCTAGTTTTATACTTTCGGTCATTACCCTGTCTTCACCTGGGGATTTATTGTTCTTCATCACCCGAAGTGCATTTTTAATTTCGTCAACAGTTATGTTCGGCATTAATTCTGAGCCTTGATTCTCTATCTTTGGTAAGGGGCGTCTTTCATCGAATTCACTTGTTTCATAGAGTTGTCTGTAGAAGTCTTCCACTGTTTTCACTATTTCTTCCTTATCAGTCACAATGTCGTCTTGTTTATTTCTTAACTTATGTACGTTCTTTTTTCTGTGGACATGTTGTGTCTTAGAACTTTCAGACTTCTATTTTTCTCTATCACCCTTGTCACCTCTCTCATGTTATGTTGTCGTATGTCTTTTCGGATTTCTTTGTTTATTGTTTTACTGAGTTGACTAAATTCTGCGTAGTTTGTGTTATACCTGTCCTTTAGCCTCCTTTTTCGATTAGATTTTTAGTGTTGAGATATTATTTATTTTCTTATGTTTTGTGTTGACTTATTTTCTCATGTTTTCTCTTTTTTATGTATGCAAAAAATTCTCTGTACTGTAACCGTTTCGAAATTTCGCCTATTCGATCGCTTGATAGCTAGCGAGCTTCGACGTTAACCTGTTAGGTATTACTCTCATAAACAGTTTGTACATTTGGAACAGCAGGAAATTGGCCTATAGTTCTTCAGATCTCCCCTGTCTCCCTTTTTGAAGAGAGGTATTGTTAAACTTTCATTCCAATCATCTGGGACTTCCCTTTGGACTTCTAAGTTTGATCTTAAGCATTTCAGGCCTCGGTTTTTTTCTATCTTTTTACCTTGTTTTTATTGTAGATAATTAAATCTTCCTTTACTCCCTTCTTTATTTGTTTAGTCAATTCTTTAAAAACATTGGTGTGTTGCTTTCCTTCGCTTAGAAATGTACATCTCTTTTCGATGAACCGTTTTGTTTCATCATTTATTCTGTCTTCTTTGTTTTTTGTTTTCTTTGCAACAGTCAGTCCTGCTTTCAAGAGCTTTCATTGCATTTCTTTATTAATGTCGGAATTTTCTTGTTGATGATGCTCTACAAATTCTTTTCTTAAAACTTCTCTGTACTCATCTCCCTTCTGTCGTATTTTAGTTTGATCTATTTGATTACAATATTTTACAATATTTCTACTGGTTTTCGTCTGTTTAACAAGAATCCTTGCTCTTAAAAGGCGGTGATAGCTGCCAGTTGTCAAGCTGCCACTCCCACGCAAGAAGTAATCTTGTTTTTCGTCTTTATATCGGGAGATATCCACGTCCATTTTCGGTTTGCTGGTTTCTTGAAGTGTGTGTTCATGGCATACAAATTTTGTTGTTCTAAGAAGTTATATAATTTTTCTCCTCTTTCATTTCGTGTGCCATAACCAGGCATCCCTATTTAGGTTTCAGTATTTTCTTCTTTTTTACCTAATTTTGCGTTGAAATCTCCCATAGTGATGGTATACTTTGTATCATTTTCTTCTAATGCTGTTATCAAATTTTCGTAGAACATTTAAACTACCTCTTCCTGATGTGTTGTTGGGGGAGCATACACTTGTATAACTTTGATCTTGGTTTTATTATCTAGGTCTATTATAATATAAGCTACTCTATCAGAAATACTTTCATATGTAGAAATGTATGGTGTGAGATACTTTTAACTAGAAATACTGCTCCACCATATGTTTTGCCTATTTTGCCTATAGTATAGGCGATTTCCAGAGTTTAGATGCATGCATTGTTCGCCTCTTCTTTTCACTTCTGACAGTCCTATAATATCCCACTTTATCTTGCATAGTTCTTCTTCTAATTCGTAGACCTTTTTATCTTTAGTCATAGATTGGATGTTGTATGTGGCTAGTAGTAACTGTTATTGTTTGTTCGTATCTATTTTGTAGCGTTAGGTTGAGCTTGTGCGTCCCCCAGAATCCGTGAGACTGACCGGTTTTTCGGTGTGGGATTCTGAGCTGCTAGCTGTACCCACCTGGGGTATCGTCCCATTTTGTTTCAAGTTCAACATGTTGTGTTTGAGGTATATTGGCATTAAAACACCACGCTTTCAGGACGGGTTGGTGAGTGTTCGCAGTATCACATCAGGTTAAATCAGTATTTGATTTTCACCTGCTACTTCGTGGTATCGCGCCTGTCAGGAATTGTATTCCTCAACCACGGACCACTAATGACACAGCTGCTGACCAGTGTCATATCTTCCGTTGAACCGCGGGTACTTATTTGGCGAAGCCTTATTCATACCTGTCCTGCATATCTACAGGAACGTTCCCTATCAGCCATCGGGGCATTAAAGTCACCACCTATTATTAAAAGCTCCTCAAATTGTTCAAAAATTTTAACCCAATCGTCGATCTGGTTACATTTTTTAGTTTCCTTAAAAAATGTAATCCTTTATTATCGACCAAGTAGCTTAATAATTAGAATGTTCGTTATTTAAATTATGTAATTTAAGGGTCATCTGACCTCATTATGTGGCTAGCTCAAACTACTTTATAGACGTTTTTTTAGTGATAATGATCTGATAGAATCGAAAATGTTCTGAAAATTTATAAATCCATTTTGGATCATTTTTAAAAATTTTATACCCTTTTAGAAAAAGAAGTTTTTATTTATTATAAGT